TGGTATCAGTAGGATCTGTATTATCAGCCTCTGGTATCAGTGGGATCTGTATTATCGGTCTCTAGTATCAGTGGGATCTGTATTATCGGCCTCTGGTATCAGTAGGATCTGTATTATCGGTCTCTGGTATCAGTGGGATCTGTATTATCGGCCTCTGGTATCAGTAGGATCTGTATTATCAGTCTCTGGTATCAGTGGGATCTGTATTATCAGTCTCTAGTATCAGTAGGGTCTGTATTATCAGGCTCTGGTATCAGTAGGATCTGTATTATCAGCCTCTGGTATCAGTAGGATCTGTATTATCAGTCCCTGGTATCAGTAGGATCTGTATTATCAGCCTCTGGTATCAGTAGGATCTGTATTATCAGGCTCTCATAGCAATGTTCCATGTCCTGCTCTGTGCTCCAGGAGCATGGACACTGGGCATCATTCACCCCAGAAGATTGAGGATCTTGTGTGTAACAATATGTACTGCAGTGGACAGTTTCCCTTAGAAGATGGTTATTGCAGCCAGAGATGCTTATTTGTTGATACTGACCAGGAGAAAATTTTAAAAATGTAGCCTGAAGTTGGGGCTTTAAAGCTGATCTCCAGGTATAAAGTGTTATGAATACTTAGAATGATTTAGCTTGGCCCAATGTAATTATATAATTGCCATGCCTGAGTGGCCCACGGGGATTCTGTGCTCATGAGAAGTGGATTGAATGACATTGGTCATCATTCAACCTGGATGAGGATTGGTGGCTGGCTGTGGAGGAGTGTGCAAAGGGCATTGAGGGGGCATGGAAAGGGTAAGCTGTTCTTATAGGCTTTTTTTTTAACATGAGGGAAGCATTTAAAATAAAAAGGGAGAAATGGTGACGTTCTACTTTGGTGACGTTCTACTTTGTCTGGGCAGTTGGCGCTATTACAGTGCTGGTCACGATCTTCCGGGTCTTGTATGGTGCTGTGCAGGGCGGCTCCTCCTCTGCTCTGGAAATGAAGGGGGTCACTTGCTTGGCACAGTGGCAATTCAGAGAACGCTCATTATTTTTGTCAATAAATAAAAGGCGTTCCCTGAGTGGATGAGGGGTGGATCGTGATGTCATCACCCTTTGTTCAATCAGACAACACCTTGTATTCATTGATAAAAATAATGAATGGCCACAATGACAAGTGAGAGACCCCCTGTGTTTCCAGAGCAAAGTGGAAGTCTCCCAGCAAAGGACCCAGAAGATCGCCATCAATACTGTAGCGGCTCCAGCTTCTACAGTGATTTACAAGATCCCCCGTAGGCTGTTCAGGTACGACATATGCATACTTCGATTGCGCCAACCTGGATCAATGGAAGTAGGCATAATTCTTTATACCTGGCGTTCAGCTTTAAGTAACATATAGTATCCCTGCCAACCACCTGATTACAAGCCCTTTGGCTCTGAGTCTCTGCCCATTGTCCTCTGCTCTAAACAATCAGTGCCATCACGGGTCACCAGCTTGCATTGTGTTAATGTTCATACTTCAGGAGTTTAACAAATGCACAGCACAGAGCTGGAGCTGAACATCACCAGCTGTCAGCCAATGAGATTTACTGCCCTAATAGAACATGCACAGTACCTTTTCATATTAACATATGAGTACAATATGAATGAGGCTTAGCTGGATTTTGGCATAAGGCCAGTTGTTTTTTTTTCATGTTTTGCTGAACGCGCAAAACTCTGTTGGCCTAATTTGTAAATAAATAGATTTTTTTAAATGGTGGTCCCATAATGGATTTATTAGCCACTTGCTGTCCGGAGCAATTTCTTAATATTTGCACGCACGTGATAAAATCTGAATTTGTGGCTATAAAACAGCTTTGGACCCCCAAACAATGATATATTTTCTGAAAACAGAGGCCCTGTAGAATAAAAAAATGCTAGTTGCAATTTTATATGTCGCACGGTATTTGCGCAAATATTTATCAAACAAGTATTTTTAGGAGAAAATACACTTAACTGACATTTAGTGCACATAGACAGAATATAATACCCAATTTCCTGGTAAAATATAAAAGAGGGGTCACGCCGGGTAAATAGATACCAAACATGTCAAGGCTTAAAATTGCGTTCGCCTGTATAAAACTAAAATAAATACAATACCCAAAATTTCCCATAGGCGACTCTTTAAAAGCTTTAGGTGCTCATCAGTTTAGCCTTAACAGTGATTGATGGCCCTAGAATTATTCCTCTCACTCTGACGTTCATGATGATATGTAACATGTGTGGAGCACTTTTAGTTTTTGCGCGTTGGCCCACCCGACGCATGTTTGCATATGTATGTGCGTGCATGTGGGGGGTGGGGCACTTTAAAAATGTTTCATTTGCATTTTTTGTTTTTTTCATTTGTACACTCAACTTGTGTATTTGTACACTAACAAGCCCCCTATGTAATAGGAAATATAACGTGTCAGGTCCTCTTTATGGAGACAGCAGGGGTCTTTCAGACCCCTGTCACCTAGGGATCCCAAAGAAGCTGATGAAGCAGAGATCTGCTTCACCAGCTTCTTCTCTTGACTCTAAGAGCCAGAGAATGTGCACAGTGACACCGGAAGTGATGTAATGCAGTTAGGAGGAGAGATCAGTAGCTAGAAGCTTGCTGATCTCCCTTTGATCCAACAGGGGAGACCTGCCGTGCTGGTCCCTGGCCCCCACGGGGGACAGTGGAGCCCAGGGTAGCCGGCGGCAGCTGGAGGGTGCATATTTAGCCGCACCATACCAGCGATCTAGCGGCTGTATACACACCAGATCGCTTGTATCTGAATGGCAATCGCGTGCTGTTTAAAAATGATACCAAGAACACGACTTGTTTTTGGATGTGTCCTCAGTGGAGAGATTTCCCCTCACTCCAATCGCTCCAACAGTGGCACAGGCAGCAGGAAAAATCTGAATTGGCAAGGAAAGGTGTGGGGTGCTGAATTACTTTAACCAGGCAGGTACCCTACTTACTTGCTAAGAGCTGTGAGCCCTGATGAAGGGGGACCCTCTGAACTCCTGAAAAAGTTGTCTTTTATTAAACACAACTTTTACAATAACAATCTTTTCTGGCTGTGAAGGTTTTCATTCATCCAGGTCACCTGCAAAAAATAAATCAAAGCAACTGGACTTGCTGTATTTTTCTTTAAGACATTTACCAGCAAAACTTCTTCAAGATAAATACAGCAAGTCCAGTTGCTTTGATTTATTGTTTACAGAATCTCTTCTGGGCTGTATACAGCTGGCCTTGTACTTTTCTCCTTTGTACTTTAAGCAGTAAAAACCCAATAGAAACTCTAACCCTTTCCTGCTCTATCTAAAAGATAATGAAATATTTTGTCTGGAGTTGGTCTTTAAGGCCTACTTCCTTTCCTGAGTGATCTGGGAACCCCTTTTTAGCAGGAGTGAAATTCCCAAACACACCTACTTGCCGACTCCTTGTCTCTAACCTGAATTAAAGGAGAACTATGGGGTCAGTGTTTTTCCCCATAGTTCTCCTTAGGGTAACGGGAGGACACAAACTAGCGTCCTTCCGTCACCCTAGGCTCAGTATACCGCGAGCTACAGCTTGCGGTATACTGAGACGCGGCAGTCAGAGCGGATCCCGACGTAGATGACGGGATCCGCCCAGCTGCGTGAGTGACAGCTGGCTCTGCCTATCTAGAGGCAGAGCCAGCTGTACCCGCCCCCTCCCCTTCCCTTCCGCCAGACAGCGCTGGCAGATCGGAGCGGGGAGAGGGGCTGAGCAAACCTGTATGTGTTCGCTCCCCTCCCGATCTACTGAGCCGACCTGTGACAGTCTCATTGTCACAGCTTGGCTAGAACTATGAGGTGAGTGGAAATCACTCATCTCATAGTTCTCCTTTAAGGTGCTAAGAAGTACCTCACTAGTCATGAATTAGATTCAAGTCCGAATGTGATTGGTGTTGCCTGAAACATGGAAGGAGAGGAGAGACATGACCTGACACTGAGTGAACCTTCTAGGTTTTGCACAGCTACAATGTTTGCGTATGAGTATAAGAAGATAATTGATTGTCCTGTGGCCTATAAATACTTTTAAAGTAAATAAAAAACGTATGCTTGGATAAAGTATTGGATGGGTAAAACCCTGTAATTTTTATGTCTGTATCCCATTGGGTAGATTTCCTTACACTTTCTGTACTGGAAACACAACAGGAAGCGCAAGAAAATCTCTCCGAACTGAGGGGAAAACTCCTCATAGACCGTTGTCACCAGAAAAGCTGTCCCCATTTAAAGATTTTCACTCACCTCTGTTGACAACTGTGTAAATCACTTGTTGCCACAACGAATATTCGTTTGAACTACAGAATACAGAGCTGAGGCTCCCAGGCCCGAATGGCATTCAGGAGGCCAAATTTTCAAGTGCCATTCCGGTCTGGAAGCCTCAGCTTTAATATTATGTATGTATATGTATATAATTCCCAGACCCGATTGGCTGCCTGGAGCTCCCGAATGATATTGGGAAATTCGGATCTAGGAGCTTCAGCTTTAGCATTTATATCTGTATATGGTTTTCTCTGGTAGTCGCAACAAATATTCCTTGCGGCAATATTGGGAGCCATATATACATAAAACTAAACCTGAGGCTCCCAGAAATCGGATTCAGACCCATTTGGATGCATTAAACCGAAAAACACATCTGATTGGCCAGAAAAGTAACATGTCCGGTTCAATTTAGTTTTTAAACAGAATTCAGACGGAATCCGAAATTCGGAAACGGACACATTGGGCTGCATTGGGGTTCGGAAATTCTGAATGAAACGAATCGCACATGTCTACTCACCAGTCGGGGACCTAGACAGCACTAAAAACTTGACCTAAAATATAACTCTTACACACTTTATCCAAAACCAGAATAAAACATTTTGACTTTACATACAATTGACCTACTCAACTATATTGGGTTTGGCTCCTTGTATATTGAAACAGAACACAAGCATTAGATATCATTCCTTTTTGTCTTTGTTCTCTTCAGGTTCTGCTAAGATTATGTGGAAGATCAGCGCAAGTAAACTGTCTACTTTTCTGCTGATAGCAGCCCAAGCTGCAGGATTCATCTTCATGATCATGAAAATGCATTTAAATACTTCTCCTGTGTCCAAACCAGAACAAAGTCACCTCCTCATCATATCGTCCTGGAGATCTGGTTCCTCCTTCACCGGCCAGCTTTTCAGCCAACACCCCGATGTCTTCTACCTGATGGAACCAGCCTGGCACGTGTGGGGTAAAATGAGCCAGGACAGCGTTGCGGTCTTGCACATGGCATCTCGGGATCTGTTTAGGTCTGTATTCCATTGTGACATGTCCGTGTACGACGCCTACATGCCCCAACAAAAGGATAAGTCACATCTTTTTCAGTGGGAGGCTAGTCGGGCCTTGTGTTCCCCACCTGCCTGTTCCTCCTTTAAGCGCAACGACATCATACCGCAATTAAGCTGCAAGATACTTTGCGGCAAGTACCCGTTCGACACCATCCAAAAAGCCTGCAAAACCTACAATGTGATTGCGATCAAGGAAGTGAGAGTTTTTGATTTAAAAGTGCTTTACCCATTGCTTGAGGATCCGTCTTTGAACCTGAAAATCCTCCACCTAGTCCGAGACCCGCGTGCCATCTTTCAGTCCCGCATGAATGTGAATAATGCGTTGACAAAGGACAGTGACACTATGTTAGGGGGAGACAAAGTTGACAAAAAGGACGTTCCCTACAAAGTCATGGAAAAGGTTTGTAAGAGTCAAGAACAGATATATGAAACTGCCGTCTTGGGAAAACTCGATAAGCGCTACATGATGGTGCGCTACGAGGACATTGTCCAAGACCCGTTGGGGAAGGTCAAGGAGATGTACGAGTTTGTCAAGCTTCCTTTTACCCCGAAACTTAAGGACTGGATTTATAATTTGACACATGGATATGGACGTGGAGACAATTTTATCATCTCCTCTGTAGATGCGCGAAACATCTCCAGAGCTTGGCGGACAGAACTTCCGTTTAAGAGCGTTCGAAGAGTTCAAGACCTTTGCAGCAACACTATGGCATTGTTTGGTTACAGAATTCTACACAATGAGAGTGAGCTGAGAGACTTATCTTTAGATTGTGCTATCAATGCCATAAAGGGACCAGACTGAGTATTTGCACAGTAATATCATAAAGGAAATGTAGACTTTTTTTAAAGTTTAGAAGTGTGTATCTTTTTGTACACCAGAGGTTATTGAAGCTTAGATGTCCAGACCAAACTTAGCAGTGTCTGTATGCGTCACTTAACTTGACAAATACCTTGCCAGATTGACAATGGGGTCTGAGAACTATGAAGATGAGTCCTAATTTCTTTGCTGCAAGAATAAAGTGTTTCTATACCCTAAACTTTTTTTTCACACCTGAACGTTTTGTAGCGCGTTCTACGCCTCGACGAACGCTCTACAAAACGCTCAAAAATATAAATCCCATTGTATTCAATGGTCTCGTTCCCACCTTGGCGTATTTCCGCCCGTCCCTAACGCGCTACAAAACGGCCCACGCCTGAAAAGGTACAGGTACTACTTTGGGCCGTTTTGTTGCACGTTTCCATTGGGATACAGCCAAGTAGCCTTCGGAAACGCGCGTTTGTCGCGCTACTTTTTTACCGCGAATCGCTGTAAAAAAACGTGCGACAGACGCGCATATGCAATACGCCTAGGTGTGAACGAGACCTAAGTTTTGGATAGAATCCAATTGAAAAGTGAGAACCCCTGTCAGATCTTCCCGTTATCTGGGGCCCTGATATAGAGATTTCTCATGATTTTCTGTTCTGAAGACAACCTTGTACCAGACAGGAAGTGAGGGAAAATCTGTACCAGACAAATGTACAACACTAAATTTAAATTAAAAAAGCATTTTTACCACTTTTTGTGTTGCCTTACTTCCTGTCCTGGGGACAACCTGTTTTCCGGACAGGAAGTGAAGGAATGTTTGCAGCCACCAACTGCAGTACAGCTGTGCACAAGGAGGAGGGAGGCCAGAGGATGTGCAAGATATTTGCAACACATCCTTGGAGATTATCCAGCATGTTAACGAATTATCACGAGAACTCAAAGCTCCCCAACCTGGACCCAGAAAGCAACTGATAACAGCACACACTGACACTAATTAGCATGCAATCAGATTGGCCGTATTGTTCTTTGTCAGCCACCTGCTGCAATAACAGAGAATACGAGGGCGCAGCCTCATAATGCAATCCCACACAAATTGTGACTGATTGACCTTCCATCTGATGGTGTCTGCCTTGTTCCAGGTCTAATGCCACCTGGCAGAACCAGTTACATGATGGTGGGGGGGGGGGGGGGGGGGTATTCTTTCCACTTACTGTAAATGTAAACAAGATTTTCCTAATGATCCCCTAAAAATATATTTTACTTTGGGGTTGCCCGAGACCTGAAAATTATTTTAAGGGATCCACTGGGGTATAAAGGTTGAAAAAGGCTGCTCTGGGAGTTGTGAATTCTTTGCATAGAAGAAAAAGGATCTTTGCTGCACACCTTTCCGGGATTCCCATAATGGATATATCTGCGGGTGCTCGAAATGACTGCGGATGGCGCCGCCACATGCAGATAGTTGAAGAACGTCACCAGCCCACCAAAACGATTGTTACAGCAATTAAGTGTTCATTTATTGAAGAACACAGATGACACCTGTGTCGGTGACGTTCTTCAACTAATCTTTGCATAGAAGGCCAACTTGACAATTTTATATTTTGACTTCCAGAAAAATGCAGAACAGTGCACGGAAATATGTACAGAAATAATAATTATTAAAAAAAAACATAAAAGGAAATAACATTCAGAGATATTGGCTATTGGCTCTAAAATAAAAATGGGAGAAAATCAGAAGTAAACGTGGGCAGTATCATGTTATCTCATTGGTGGAAGCATTCGAGAGAAAGCCCATAACCACCATGGTCAAAACAAGCTCCAGATTCCATGCCCCGTGCATTTTATTGGGGTAGATTTGTGGCATGGACTATTCAACCTTGGGCAATCCCTTTTGGGGGCGGTATCCCACCAGGTGTATGGAGAATTCATGTCTTTGAAGTGGCTGTTGGTTATATGGACCAGTCGGTTTTGATGGCTAAGTTGGAGTTAGGATTCTTTACATGAGTACATCATCCCAGTCACAAGGAGTCCAAACACAACATGATTACCATGGCAAGGGTCCATATAGCCCTTTCCGATAAGACTTATACAGCATTTCTAGCAAATGTTCTGCACGATCTGGCCACTGGTCCATCTAACCCTAACCCTGTGAGTGCTAGCCCTGCCCGTTGCTGTGTGAAGAAAGTTTGCAGCGCCTCTATTAGATGTCCCCTGCTGTTGATGGTTCTACTGCTGCTTCCTGCTTGTCCGCCATGGGCAGTGGAGCTGCGGCTGGTAGCAGTGGGCTTTGTAGCCCAGGAAGCACCTCCTCAATCCTCACAGTGACGCATTTTTAATCCATCTCCTGCGGTTGGATGCAATCAGTTATTTTGGTCTCTAGCATATATCTGAAAGGGTTGCAAAAAGGCCCTTTGAGGGTTCTTCCCCAAAAATGAGACACCCCTCAGATCAGAGGCAGAAGGTTTTTGGAGGGGTCTTTCCCAAAAAAAGAGACAGGCCTCAGATCTGAGACAGAAGGCATTTGGAGGGGTTTTCCTCAAAAAAAAAGAGACAGGCCTCAGATCAGAGACAGAAGGCCTTTGGAGAGGTCTTCCTCAAAAAAAAAGAGACAGGCCTCAGATCAGAGACAGAAGGCCTTTGGAGAGGTCTTCCTCAAAAAAAAAGAGACAGGCCTTAGATCAGAGACAGAAGGCCTTTGGAGGGGTCTTCCTCAAAAAAAAAGAGACAGGCCTTAGATCAGAGACAGAAGGCCTTTGGAGGGGTCTTCCTAAAAAAAAGAGACAGGCCCTTGAAGTTGTCTCAAAAAAACCCCAAGTCTGCTATTATTATTTTTGCATTTTTATTAACATGATCTCTTTTGTTTTATTCAATTGGTGAGGGTGCTCTCCGCACACCTTACAGCAATCCCGGCCAGTAAAAACGATGGTGCTTGTAGTAACAACCACGGATGGCACCGTGCAAAGTACGAAATGAAAAGACAGGTCACCAGCACTCAAATGATTTAAATAGGTATGTCCTTTTTAATGGACAATTGTGTCACCATAATCAACAAAGCCGACGTTTCGGGGCCGCGCAGGGTCCCTTCTTCATATTTTTCTGCCTTGAAGAAGGGACCCTGTGCGGCCCCGAAACGTCGGCTTTGTTGATTATGGTGACACAATTGTCCATTAAAAAGGACATACCTATTTAAATCATTTGAGTGCTGGTGACCTGTCTTTTCATTTTGCTTTATTCATTTATTTATTTATATTTGTTTTTATTTAACTGTCTATTAAGTGGTGGAAGCCGCCAGGGGCGAGTGCTACCAGGGTCCAAGCTTGCCTGCTGTGGAGGCCCAGGGCATTATGGGGCTGGCTACGGAATTTAGATCTTCTGCTGTGGAGGCCGAGGGCATTATGGGGCTAGCTACCGAATTTAGATGGTCTGCGGTGGAGGCCCAGGGCATTATGGGGCTGGCTACCGAATTTAGATCTTCTGCTGTGGAGGCCGAGGGCATTATGGGGCTAGCTACCGAATTTAGATGGTCTGCGGTGGAGGCCCAGGGCATTATGGGGCTGGCTACCGAATTTAGATCTTCTGCTGTGGAGGCCGAGGGCATTATGGGGCTAGCTACCGAATTTAGATGGTCTGCGGTGGAGGCCCAGGGCATTATGGGGCTGGCTACCGAATTTAGATCTTCTGCTGTGGAGGCCGAGGGCATTATGGGGCTAGCTACCGAATTTAGATGGTCTGCGGTGGAGGCCCAGGGCATTATGGGGCTGGCTACCGAATTTAGATCTTCTGCTGTGGAGGCCGAGGGCATTATGGGGCTAGCTACCGAATTTAGATGGTCTGCGGTGGAGGCCCAGGGCATTATGGGGCTGGCTACCGAATTTAGATCTTCTGCTGTGGAGGCCGAGGGCATTATGGGGCTAGCTACCGAATTTAGATGGTCTGCGGTGGAGGCCCAGGGCATTATGGGGCTGGCTACCGAATTTAGATCTTCTGCTGTGGAGGCCGAGGGCATTATGGGGCTAGCTACCGAATTTAGATGGTCTGCGGTGGAGGCCCAGGGCATTATGGGGCTGGCTACCGAATTTAGATCTTCTGCTGTGGAGGCCGAGGGCATTATGGGGCTAGCTACCGAATTTAGATGGTCTGCGGTGGAGGCCCAGGGCATTATGGGGCTGGCTACCGAATTTAGATCTTCTGCTGTGGAGGCCGAGGGCATTATGGGGCTAGCTACCGAATTTAGATGGTCTGCGGTGGAGGCCCAGGGCATTATGGGGCTGGCTACCGAATTTAGATCTTCTGCTGTGGAGGCCGAGGGCATTATGGGGCTAGCTACCGAATTTAGATGGTCTGCGGTGGAGGCCCAGGGCATTATGGGGCTGGCTACCGAATTTAGATCTTCTGCTGTGGAGGCCGAGGGCATTATGGGGCTAGCTACCGAATTTAGATGGTCTGCGGTGGAGGCCCAGGGCATTATGGGGCTGGCTACCGAATTTAGATCTTCTGCTGTGGAGGCCGAGGGCATTATGGGGCTAGCTACCGAATTTAGATGGTCTGCGGTGGAGGCCCAGGGCATTATGGGGCTGGCTACCGAATTTAGATCTTCTGCTGTGGAGGCCGAGGGCATTATGGGGCTAGCTACCGAATTTAGATGGTCTGCGGTGGAGGCCCAGGGCATTATGGGGCTGGCTACCGAATTTAGATCTTCTGCTGTGGAGGCCGAGGGCATTATGGGGCTAGCTACCGAATTTAGATGGTCTGCGGTGGAGGCCCAGGGCATTATGGGGCTGGCTACCGAATTTAGATCTTCTGCTGTGGAGGCCGAGGGCATTATGGGGCTAGCTACCGAATTTAGATGGTCTGCGGTGGAGGCCCAGGGCATTATGGGGCTGGCTACCGAATTTAGATCTTCTGCTGTGGAGGCCGAGGGCATTATGGGGCTAGCTACCGAATTTAGATGGTCTGCGGTGGAGGCCCAGGGCATTATGGGGCTGGCTACCGAATTTAGATCTTCTGCTGTGGAGGCCGAGGGCATTATGGGGCTAGCTACCGAATTTAGATGGTCTGCGGTGGAGGCCCAGGGCATTATGGGGCTGGCTACCGAATTTAGATCTTCTGCTGTGGAGGCCGAGGGCATTATGGGGCTAGCTACCGAATTTAGATGGTCTGCGGTGGAGGCCCAGGGCATTATGGGGCTGGCTACCGAATTTAGATCGTCTGCTGTGGAGGCCCAGGGCATTATGGGGCTGGCTACCGAATTTTTCTGCAAAACATTCCGGTTGTTTGTGTTGAATGTTTCCAAATTGAATTTAGAGATATTTGGGGAGAATTTCACTCGAACACAAACAGCAGCATCAGCCTACTGTGGCCCTTTTTTTAGCGGTTCCCGCACTCCACATGAGCTTTGTAGTTTATTTTCTATTATGGAAAGTGTATACAGAGGTGCAGGAACACAAAATGGTGGACGGGGACACCCAAAACTCCCAGGTGGACAGAATTGGAGACGACAATTATAGCAGGGAGATCTTGCTGCTTGAGTACCCAAATATAAGCAGACAGGAACCGACTCATCGACCGGCCCGTAACTAAAATATCACTTTTGGGTTTACATTTGAAGAGGTTAGGATTCTTTTGTTCCTTCCACACACAAACTAGTGACTTATAAAGGGTTAAGGAATGTGCACATGTTCCATTATATATAACAGATCTGGTTCTGTTCGTGGTGTACGAGTCCTCGTGTTGTACTACTTTTGCATTTGTGACTTTCCATCTTGCAATAAATAAAAAATGTTCTCTAATATATCACATCGATTATGTTTCTAAAGTGGACCTGTCATCAGCAACCCATCAAGTCTGCATGAATACAATCTTCACATGTAACAATATGATTTTCAAAAGGTCTCTACCTTTTATCATTAGAAAGCCATCCCTGTGCTCCAGTCCCAGGGCCTTGCCCGATGATGCAATCAGTCTGCTCCAGGCATTCCTCGGTCTCCTCTCCCTTAATGATCAGACGGCAACATTGTAACTTTGTAGTAAGTCACAAATTGAGAGGCTGCGGCAGGGGGTGATCTGTGTCAGACATTTGTGAACACAGCCAAGAACTGCACAAACACCAGGATTTATATGACTGTGCTATCTGTAAGCCGACTTCTCAAACCAGGAGGAAGATACTGACCATGGGAGTTGCTAGGATTGTAAAAGACCCATGGCACGCTTGTGCACACACAGTAGGGGCCGTAGCACATTTGTGCACACACAGTAGGGGTCGTAGCGCGCTTATGCACACACAGTAGGGGCCGTAGCACATTTGTGCACACACAGTAGGGGTCGTAGCACGCTTGTGCACACACAGTAGGGGTCGTAGCACGCTTGTGCACACACAGTAGGGGCCGTAGCACACTTGCGCAAACACAGTAGGGGCCGTAGCACGTTTGTACACACACAGTAGGGGCCGTAGCACATTTGTGCACACACAGTAGGGGTCGTAGCACGCTTGTGCACACACAGTAGGGGTCGTCGCACGCTTGTGCACACACAGTACACGCAGTAGGGGTCGTAGCCCGCTTGTTCACACACAGTAGGGGCCGTAGCACGCTTGTGCACACACAGTAGGGGCCGTAGCACTCTTGTGCACACACAGTAGGGGCCGTAGCAAGCTTGTGCACACACAGTAGGGGCCTTAGCACTCTTGTGCACACACAGTAGGGGCCGTAGCAAGCTTGTGCACACACAGTAGGGGTTGTAGCACGCTTGTGCACACACAGTAGGGGCCGTAGCACGTTTGTGCACACACCAGACCTGCCATCCCTTGAAAACGTCTGTGTGACGAAACGCGTCGGGGGCGGGCCTATTCTCACGTCATTTGATCCAGTCTAAAGGAATCACGCCTAAGTGATCAGCCGGCTTTTCAAAAAAATATATTTTAGCGCTCTTTTTAACCTGTATGCTGCATGATCATAATAAACCTGGGTTTCATTACGCTATGAGCGTATGTTTTATCTCGATTGTTATGTGATTGGATATCCCACCGGAGGGACCCCTAAAATACGAGGATACTCCTTTTAAACACCGCGGGTAAACGGGAGACCTCTCCTTCCCTGAAGCCTGATCGAGCGTGGGAATTAAAGACGGAGCTCCAGGCTTACCTTGATGAAACAAACGTGTTTAACATCTTCGGATCTGGTGAGTGCATTCCCTTGAGGGGATTTTCTCCGCATTTTTTCTTCGGTTCTTCCTTCCTCTTGTTTGGATTTTCGTTGGACACATTACTGCACTGAATTTTCACTGTGGAAGTGTCTACCATTGATGGATTTTTAAAGACTTTTAAAAAACTACAAAAGATTTGGACTATTCACATATACATCGAGAGAAGTTTATTTCAGTTTATTTAAATGGTTACACATTGTTTGTTTATTCACTATTTATTAATAATAATCACCCACACTTGATACATATATTCACAGCCTATCACAGTTTATTAACATTTATTAGATACATTTCATACATCACCTGATCATCTTATAGACTTTCATTTGTTATACACAACCATTCACATTGATTAAAATAAAGATATTGAGTTTTTGAGATACACCCCTTCACTGAATGTTTGATTTATTTATTTATCTTTTATATTTTCTTCAATGCATACTTTAAACCTCGATCCTAACGTTTGATTTCTTATATTCACTTCTGTAGGACGGTTAGCGCTGTGCGTTTTAAGAAAATACATCCTAATAGGGGCTGAGTGCCTTTAGTTCAGCAGCTTCCCACAACCTTCTAGAATAACTAAATTTCACATATTTTTTTATCAATTCTAATGTTTAATTTTTATTAATATTTTAACAATAATTTATCATTTTTAATATCTTATTATCCCCAATTTCCAATAGCGCAAGTTCTTGCAATTACTACACACACAGTAGGGGTTGTAGCACGCTTGTGCACACACAGTAGGGGCCGTAGCACGCTCGTACACACACAGTAGGGGTTGTAGCACGCTTGTGCACACACAGTAGGGGTCGTAGCACGCCTGAGCACACACAGTAGGGGTCGTAGCACGCTTGTGCACACACAGTAGGGGTCGTAGCACGCTTGTGCACACACAGTAGGGGTTGTAGCACGCTTGTGCACACACAGTAGGGGTTGTAGCACGCTTGTACACACACAGTAGGAGTCGTAGCACGCTCGTACACAGACAGTAGGGGTCGTAGCACGCTTGTTCACACACAGTAGGGGTCGTAGCATGCTTGTGCACACACAGTAGGGGTCGTAGCACGCTTGTGCACACACAGTAGGGGTCGTAGCACGCCTGAGCACACACAGTAGGGGTCATAGCACACTTAGTAGGGGAACTGTGGGCATAGCTTGTTTGTGTTAAAGAAGAACTCCAGAAAAACTTCTCTTATTAACTCTTGCAGTGGAGCTACCCCCTGAACTGCAAGGGTTAACTGCTTGTTTTTGTCTAGGTTAAAAAAAAAGTGATACTCACCCGATGCTCTGGGCCGGCTTCTTCTTAGACCGGTCCCTGGAGCCTCTCTGCCCCTCCTCCGCACGTCCCCTACATCATCACGTCTATACACTGTGTATAGACCTGAGACCGCCGAGGATGACTCCAATGCTGCAGCACAGGAGGAGGAGTCAGGCTGGAGGGAGAGCTGTGACAGCTGGCTGGCTCTGAGTTTCGGGTGAGTATAACTTTGTCATTTTAGCACCTAGACAAAAATGAGCACTTAACCCTTGCAGTGGGGGGGGGGCCACACTGCAAGGGTTAAGAACACTGTTGTCTGGAGTTCTGCTTTAAACATACTTTTATACAGAACATGTATACATACCTGATTTTGTCCTGATATTGCCCTCCTGTAAACTCCTGTACAGCAGCACTTGTACTGCGAAAGGCAGGGTCAGATCTTCAAGTCAATCACATGTCACTGCTGTCAGGCAACAGCAAGAATATGATTACTGGTTTAAGAACAGAATGATGACTTCATCTGTCTGCTGCTTCTACTTCATTGTCCAGTAACAGGCTGTGGTAGGTTGGAGACCAAGCAGTACTGATTAAAGGGTATATGTGATCAAAAATAAATATGCATTTCTATACTGAGTTTCCATACATTCTATCCCATTCCTAATAATCTAATACTTTCTAAGGAACATTACACTTTAAGACATTGTCATGTCTGCTAAGAGAAAGCAAGAGGGTATGTATCTACACTGACACAATATAATTTAGGGACATTCACGTAGGGCTGCAACCAACTAATTGATTAATAAATAATAATCAATAATGGGAGTAGTTGTCAACTTTTCTTATTATCGATTAGTTGGTTGGATCCCCTAGCTTTCTCCTCCATGCTGGGAGTAGGGCACAGCAAGCAGTAAGTGGGTGCAGTAGCCAGCCTGCTATTGGCTGTTGCAATTTGAAATGGCCAATAGCAGGCTGGCTATTTCACCAACACACTACCTGCTGTATTTACATGCAGAATCTTGCCATTGGCAGCTGTTATTCCTTGGCTGAAGCTATGCAAGCGTCATTACAATACAATTACATACAAAATTATAAAAGGTGGGAAAAAAGTCATTTTCTGTTTCGGCCTGACAAATTCTGCTGCGGGAGGTGCGTTGGTGTGCCATTCATTTCAATGTCACCCAAAACATGCCTCCCACCCACAGTGTGATCGCCCGCACTTGAATGCACGATATCACAATGCCGTGCATTCTAGTGCAGTGTGATTGCAAAAAAAAGTGCATGCAGTTTTATTCTGAAGTTAACGGTATGTTTGTAACACTGCAATTGTGTTTTTTATTTTGAATTAAGGATGGTGTTTATTTTATTTTTTTATCCGATTAATCGAAAAAATTATCTGCCAATTAATCGATTATGAAAACAATCATTAGTTGCAGTCCTAGATTCACAGCATAGTACTAAGTCAGACATGTGAAATTCTGGCCCCAGCTTTAGTGTCTGCGTCTGGGCGGGTCGGGCGGGGTGGGGGGGGGGGGGGGGTTTGGGGAGCTGGCCCCACTGCAAGGGTTAATAAAACGTTTTCCTGGAGTTCTTGGCACAATGGGAGTGGCATAAATGCGGATGGCAAAATAGTACATGAGCCTATGCTTTGTACATGCGGCACATATGCCACAGTCCTTGTACCCACAAAATGTGTGTGTCTCCACAAACTCACAACAGCAACACTCACTCCCCCCTCCCCGGTACCCTCCTCCTCCATCCTCCTTCCTTCCCCCAAGCTAGTAGATGGACGACTCCTGGAAACTGCTGAGCTTAGGGTAACGGGAGGACGCTAGTTTGTGTCCTCCCGTTACCCTTAGACCCCGTTCACATGTAGCGACATACCTTTGCAGCGGCCGGGATAGCGCGACTTTCGGGGCGACGTTCCAGCGACGGTAGCGCGACCTTCTCCGTCGGGCTCCATAGAAAAAAAGCAAAATCCGCCGAAAAAAGGGTCCGGTAGAAGCGACTTGCGACCGCGACAAGCGACATGGAGTTAAGACAGCTCCATTGAATAGCATTGGGCGCGACTTCTCAAGATATCGCGCGGCAAAAATGCGCGATATCGCGGCGGAAATCGCGCGATACGTCGCTACATGTGAACGGGTTCTATGGAAGCGTGGCTGAGAAAGGTTGGTGTAGTAGACTGTGGACATGACATGTATCTGTACTCTTCCACCCCCTTGTGGACAGAAGATGTAATAACGATTTTAGCACTTTCTATATTTTTCTATTAGAACTAAACAAATATTCTCTGTAGATGCTGAAAATGTTCTCATCCCCAAACTAAGGAAATGAATGCAGCCGCCACACTGGAGGACTGCTGAGCGGCAATATATGGCATTTTTTGTGTGGTTTAGATATCCTTTAACTGCAATGCACATTATGGGCTTCATTGATAAATCTGAGTTATTTATAAACACTAAGGATTAGTTCACACCAGAAACTGCATCACAACTGCGTGCGTCTGCGCAGTTGCATTGCGATGCCCCTGGATTATGCCACAAATCATTCTGCTTTTTTTTGTATGCGTTCCGTTGTGTTTGCATGCGTTTTGATGTGTTTGCATGCGCTTTGATGCATTCCGGTATAAACGCTGATACCCTATTTATAAACGCAGAGGCCCTATTTATAAACGAAAAGACCCTATTTATAAACGCAGAGGCCCTATTTATAAACGCATAGACCCTATTTATAAACGAAAATACCCTATTTATAAACGAAAATACCCTATTTATAAACGCTGAGACCCTATTTATAAACGCAGAGACCCTATATATAAACGCAGAGACCCTATTTATAACTGCAGAGACCCTATTTATAAACGCAGAGGCCCTATTTATAAACGAAAAGGCCCTATTTATAAACGCAGAGACCCTATTTATAAACGCAGAGACCCTATTTATAAACGCAGAGACCCTATTTATAAACGCAGAGGCCCTATTTATAAATGCAGAGACCCTATTTATAAACGCAGAGACCCTATTTATAAACGAAAAGACCCTATTTATAAACGCAGAGACCCTATTTATAAACGCAGAGACCCTATTTATAAACGCAGAGGCCCTATTTATAAACGCATAGACCCTATTTATAAACGAAAATACCCTATTTATAAACGAAAATACCCTATTTATAAACGCTGAGACCCTATTTATAAACGCAGAGACCCTATATATAAACGCAGAGACCCTATTTATAACTGCAGAGACCCTATTTATAAACGCAGAGACCCTATTTATAAATGCAGAGACCCTATCTATAAACGCAGAGACCCTATTTATAAACGCAGAGGCCCTATTTATAAACGCAGAGACCCTATTTATAAACGCTGAGACCCTATTTATAAACTTGAGCGATTTCCATTACTTCCTGTCCAGACAGTGGGGGACACAGGCCTTCATAAAAACCTTGCAGAGGATTTAACCCTTTCCTGCTCTGTCTAAAACTAAAAGTTTGGAATGTAATAAACATTACATATCAGGAATGTGGTGTGTGACCTGGTCGTAAATAATATAGCCGGGTGGTTAAATACAATGCAATACAATGTACAAATACAATACAATGTAAATATTGTGTCATATGCAATAAATACTGTTGTATCCACCGTAACTATAGCTACGTAACTATAACTATAACAGACTCCCCTACAGCACTTCCCACCAGTACAAGAGCCAATCCGTGGCCTGTACGTCATGCAGCCCCGCCTCCTGCCGAAAGCGTGGGTGGAAGTACAGATCAGAGAGTTTCGCCGCGCAGCCGGAAGTGCACTTACTATCTCTCTCTCTTCTGTACTGTGAACATGGCGGATGTCCAGGCTGCGGCTCCTGCGGACGGCGATGCCAAACTCAGCAAAAAGTGAGCGGACGTCCCGGCGGCGGCGTCTTATCTCAGTGTGGGGGGAGCGTAGAGTCCGTACGAGGACTCTAATGGGGGGAGGAGAGGGCTATATGCCAGGACATGTGGGCTGTAGACGCTTCCATTGCGGGAACCGGGCGCGGGGCATTGTGGGAGTTATAGTGTCCTGCCGAGTGTTAGCCGTTCAGTCTGTACGTGCTGGAGTCTGACAGGGAACTACATCTCCCAGCAGTGCGGGGACCGGCTGATGTAACCGCGGACAGTGAGGCTGGAGTGACTTGGAGTAGTATATTTTGGGCTGTAGTTCTCATTGGATTGAGCTCCAATTTTATTTGGATTACAAATATAATTTCCATTCATGGCATGACATTAGGCTGAGGTTGTGTCAAGCAGATTCTGGATAAGATAGTTCTCCCCTAAGCGGCAATTATCGTGTGTATTGGCACTTGAAGTGTAACTTTTATAATTTTGGCTTTTGAATTGTGTGGATTTGGCTAGAACCTCTGTCAGCTTTTCAATGCTGTCCTTGTCCCTAACAGGAAGATCTCCCTGCACTTCCTGTTTCCAAAGTCAACGGGAAGTAAGGGGAACTCCACCAAAACTGCAAGGACATTCCACTGTGTGTGTGGTGTCCCCTTCAAAATGTATCATCACTAAGCAGGTTGTGGTGACAACCAAAAATGTTGGACCGCCATCACTAACCTTGTATCTTGGTGACCGCTTGCCCCAGACAAAGAAAGGGCTTAGAGACCCTATTTATAAATGTTGAGACCCTATTTATAAACACTGAGACCCTCAGGGACCGAGGGACATTTCATCTCTCGAGCAGAGGCGGAGACAGGAGGAAGAGACCGGTCCAGCAGCCAGCGGGCTCCGAGATTCAGGTGAGTATATATCTTTTTATTTTATTTTCTACCCTAGAAGAAAAGGACTTAACCCTTGCATTGCAGGAAATGCATCACTCCAAGGGTTAAGAATAATTATGCCCAGAGTTCTTCTTGTAAAAAAAAATATAAACACTGGTATGAACGTCATTAGGCGGGTAACTTGCTCGTTTGAAAGCCTGTGCATGTGCAGTGCGTTCTTTCCCATTTTAGCATCGATTTAACTCTTTCTTTAAGGTCCCGGATGCGGTCATCGAAGACATACTTCCCCCGGTGACTTCCCCCACACTAAAAAAAAAGTGCACAAGGGTGCTGTGGTCCTCCTCGTAGGGTCTCGATTCCCTACATTGTTTAATAAAGCTGCACACTTTTTTTTTTTAATTCACTTGTGGGGCCCTTTATAGGCCGTTTTCTTTCAGAGGTGGCCCAAAGGTGAACTTGGCCTTTTAAAGGAGAACTATGAGGTGAGTGCTTTTCACTCACCTCATAGTTCTAGCCGACCTGTGACAATGAGACTGTCACAGGTAGGCTCAGTAGATCGGGAGGTGAGCGAACACATAGCGTCGTTCGCTTACTTCTCGATCCTGTCACAGCTCTCTGCCGTGACAGGGGGAGGGGCTGGATTCCCCTCTCCCTGCTCCGATCTGCCAGCGCTGACTGGCGGAACGGACGGGGAGGGCACAGCTGGCTCTGCCTCTAGATAGGCAGAGCCAGCTGTCACTCACTCAGCTGGGCGGATCCCGTCATCTACGTCGGGATCCGCTCCAGCTGCGGCGTCTCAGTATACCGCAAACTGTAGCTCGCGGTATACTGAGCTTAGGGTGACGGGAGGACGCTCGTTTGTGTCCTCCCGTTACCTTAAGGAGAACTATGGGGAAAAGCCCTGACCCCATAGTTCTCTAAGTCCTACGCCCTTTTACACTCAGTGTAATCTGAGTCTTTATTTTTTTTTTTAAGCTCTCCCTCCTCGTCTGAGGCCGTAGCGGCGGCTTTACTTTCGGTTCTGATATTAGTTATTGAATGCTGCAAATGAACACAGAACTTCTGTCTGATGTATTGAGGAAGTAGAAAGATTAACCACCACCCTGCAGAACATCTGACTTGGCAATTCCCCCCCCCCCCCGTTCAGTCTTTCTAGAAGGGCAAATAGACTTTTTTTTTTTTTAAGTGGCATAAACGACATTTTCTCTTACAAAAAAATATTAAAGATTCTCATGTTCAAGTGAGACTTAAACTTTAGTAGATGGTTGTCTAGTAGATTTAGTAGATGGTTGTCTTGCTGCTGTGCTAATTTGCATCTGTCTTACCTTGTTGTCTCCTTGCTAGGTGGTAAAGCCAGTTTTGGGTTGGGAGCTGTTTTGCTATGATGTCTCAAGCTCTTCTCAGGCTGGCTAGGTGCCCGGTCTGGGCCCAGCGGGCACTTAAGGACAATTTCCTTGGCAAGCACCTTCCTACTTTCTCACCGCTCTGCACTGACCAGGCACTTCATGGGAAAAAAAGGTTGGTGTGCTTCCCCGTAGTTTGTGCCCCACCAACTTTATGTGCCCCATATTGTATACTGTCTTTACGCTGGTCAAAATCGAATGGACTTTGTTTGCAGAAGTGACTGCAATGGGAGAGCTGTGTTGACCGTAGTAGTCATTCAGAGTAAGGATGCACCGATAGCGCTTTTTTCGGTATTGAGTTTTTTTTCGGCGTTTTTTTGGGTATTGAGTACCGGTATTTTTTCCCCCCTGTATTCACCTATACTGATATCGAAAGTCCCATTAGGGAAGCCAGGCGGCATGTAATGACTCGCCACCTGGCTTCCCGTTTAGCAGGGAAGCTGACTCCATGCTCCTTCGTCACCAGGGGACAAGGAAGCTGACTCCATGCTCCTTCGTCACCAGGGGACAAGGAAGCATGGGGCGAGCTTTCTGCCCATGCAGGAAGTCGGTCGCCGTGTAATGACTCGTTGCCCGGCTTTCTAATTGGCTAGCTTTTCCACCAATCAGGAAGCCGGGAAACGAGTCATCACTCGGCGTCCAGCTTCCTGGAGGCCGACTTCATGCTCCCTCCCTTCAACGTCAATCATAAAGCGGGTGGGGGGGGGCGGCTAATGACTTGCTGTCCAGCTTCCTGATTGGCTAACTTCCCGTCCAATCAGGAAGCTAGGTGGCTAGTCATTATACGCTGCACGGCTTCCTGATTGGCCGGGAAGCTGGCTCCATGCTTCCTCGTCACCAAGTGATGAGGGAGCATGGAGCCGGCTTGCCGGGCAGCGTGTAATGACTCGCTGTCCGGCTTCCTGATACCAGAAGCTCGGGTATTGGGCTAAGCATCGGAGCATTTGTACATCGGAGTACTCGCCCAAATACTCGGCATCGGCACCAGTACTAGTATCTGTGCATCCCTAATTCAGAACCTCCATCATTTTCTGACCTGTACTAAGTTGGATGCAGTTTGGCTTCTATTTATTTTTGCTCCAGTCTTCTAGCTCTCTAATTCTTGAGTGATATAAGAGAAAGGAATCCTTGCCTTATTACTCAATTCCTCAGCAATTGAGCCCTCAATGGGTTAGGGTAATGGCTGGACGAATCCCAGGAGCGAATCCCAGGAGCCAGGTCACCACTGCCGCCTAAAATTTACAGCTGACACCTAACTTTTGAGGTTTTCTCTAGTTGTCAGTGGAGCTGGCTCCTGGATTGGACAGCTTGGCTTCTGAATTCCATATTCATTTGTCCACCCTTGGTTGGCAGGATGTAGACCAGAAATCTGAGCCCGAAAGTTAAAACCTGTTTGAAAAAGACTCGCAAAGAAGACACTTTTGTGGGCCATAAAGGGAATAGCGGGCAAATTGTGGTCTTGGACCGTTAAATTTTTTGAGGTTTAAAGAGGCTAACAGGTTGGCATGAAGAGCTTCAAAATGGCCCTCAGTAGCTCCCTGGAAGGCCGTTACAAATTTGATTTGCAGTCTGTGAACTCTAACTGGGCGATTGGGAATGGAGCCAACCATGGACCTGTTTTCTCTACAGGTTTAATTTACTTTGTAAGTGATTGTTACCATGAGCACTGCACGGCGCTAATTAACTCTCCATTTTCTTCTTCAGCGAGTTGAAAAGGCGATTGAAAGCCGAGAAAAAATCTGCTGAAAAAGAGGCAAAACAAAAAGAGCAAAGTGAAAAAACACCAAGTGAGCAGTCCCAAGAGCTCGATGAAGAAAGTCTTGATCCTAATGTAAGTTACTTTTTTTTCTTTTTTTTTTTTTCTTTCACTTCCTCTTTCTTGTAGGACCCGCGGTGCATTCAAAACCGAGGCCCAGTTCCATGGAAAAGCATTGAATGTTAAAGTGACACTAAACTCAGGAGTTAAAGGGGTTCTAAACCCTCCGTTTTTTTTGCCTATATCTACTGCTAGCATGCAGTAGATATAGGCAAGAAGTGTAAAAAAAAACAAAACGCTTAAAATCCTTTTTAAACTTACCTCGTTATCGCTGCTCGCTCTCGCGCCGAGAATCAGGAACTGCTCGTACGGCCGCAAAGGATCTTGGGGCGGGCGCATGCGCAGTTCCGATTCTCGGCCGGGAGACGAGCAGAGACGCAAGGTAAGTCTATGGACGCGTGCACCCGCCTGCAGACACCGCTGGATCGGAGAGACAGAGCAGTCAGCGCTGGATCGGAGTGACGTCCCACCGCTGGAGGGACACATGAAAACATCCGGAAAGAAGAGGAAGATCAGAAAAAGAGACATCATTTAAGGTAAGTGCTAACATTTACATGGGGGGGAGGGAAATTTTTTTTTTGCCTTTAATGTCACTTTAAATCCTAAAAATACGTTCAATTATTTTAACCATTAGCAAAAATTTATCTTATTTGTGTATCAATCGGCTGTAGATCCTCCAATCATCTCTGAATTGGTGCTGACACTGTCCTTCTTTCTGGAGGGGGGCTACTTTGTTCCCCTTGGTTCTGTATGTGCTGTAAAGTAGCCACAGCTCCAAGCTTGCTCTCAGGATATACTACAGTCTCAATACAAATCAGTAAACTATACATGAGATTGTAGTCCATCCCGGGAGCGAACTTGGAGCGGTTACAACTGTCCGTCCTCCTGGAGGGGGGGCTACTTTTGATCCCCACGGTCCTTGTGTGTGTTGTAAAGTTGTAACCGCTCCAAGTTCGCTCCCGGGATGGACTACAATCTCATGTTTAGTTTACTGATTTGTATTGAGACTGTAGTAATATCCTGAGAGCGAGCTTGGAGCGGTGACTACTTTACAGCAGATACAGAACCAAGGGGAACAAAGTAGCCCCCCCCCCCCCCAGAAGGAAGGACAGTGTCCGCACCAAGTCAGAGATGATTGGAGGATCTACAGCCGAGTGATACACAAATAAGATATATTTTTGGTAATAGTTAATGTACTTGAATGTATTTTTAGGATTTAACTCCTGAGTTTAGTGTCACTTTAAGCCCTTGTATCTGGCCATTCTCTGGTGGTCAGTGGCTTGTTGTACATGTCATTCTAGATACCATGTTGTGCAGGTTTTTGGTGTCCTCCTACTCCCAGGGAAATGAAAAAAGCATTACTATCGATTTAATGTTAGAGGCTAGTGGAAGCTTTCACTTACTTCATGATGCAATGACCTTTTGTCAGTAAACTTTTTGAAGGTGGTTGTCATCCTTAACCTGGAAAACATTCGGGACAGGAATTCAGACTTTTCAGATTGCGTTGGGTTTGTCCTTTGCCCCTAATTTCTCAATCCCCAGAGCTCCATAGAAACAATGATGCCATCACTGCAGCTTTGTACCGTGAGCCCAGGTAGATGCAATGAGACGCCCCCAGGGGATTTGTCATTGATGCCCTGAACCTATCAGAAGTGGGTTGGATGATGCTAGGGATCACTGAGCCTGGAAGAGTATTGGCACTGGACCACAGAGCAGTGAGTCTGTGAAGGTAGAACACCAGGGACAAGATCCGCTTTCTCTCTGGTGTTACCACTTATTTTTTAACTTTTTTTTTAATAAGTGGAATTCGGTTATCTCAGTTTTCCAATGGGTGCCTTATCTCGAGATTACAAGAATGTACCACTCCCACAGACACACACATTCCCTGGTTGAAAATGAAAGTACCTTTTAAGCCAAATAATATGAAGGTCAAGAGTTGAGAAGTAAAATCTATATCTTTGTTTATAAAGTACAGATCTGTGGTAAGCCTTTACTTGGGAGGACGAGCCTAATTCTTAAGTCCTTTCCTCTTGCTGTGCACAAATATAAATTCAAATTTGCATATTCTCAGAAAAGACTGCTTATAAATAATTGTCAAGCCAGGCTGTTGCTGTGTCCTGAACTATATTGGCCTTCCCATATCAGTCTTAAATAAAGGAAAATACTTGAAATGCAATGCTTGTACAGGATTTGCTTTCTGGCGATCCTCTTATCTTGTTACAAGTTGGCCAGTCATCGTCTGTATTGTTAATAAAAGAATCTGTGCAGGCTTTAATGTTGTAAAACAGCCACAGTGCTAATGGTATTCCCTCTAGGCTTTGGCCAGCAACATTTACCCTATTAAATAAAAACATTGTGCTTTTGATAATGCTGAAATATGTTCTGTTGACGCATAGCAGACGCACAGTATTGGTGGTTATGTTTGCTCACCTGTGCAGTCTGATTATGGATAGGATCCATGGGACCTGATCAGATGCTACTCTGTGGGCAGCCGTGTGTACACAGATGGGTGGTTACCCCCGACTCCAGCCAGGTCCGGAAAAACAAACGGGTCAGAGATCCATTTTGCCAGACTTGATCGTGCTGGATTGGGGACAAACTGATGTAAACGGACACATGTCTGGATCGACATGGGGTCCGGTCATTTCAGTTTTTTCCTTCGTCGCAAGATGGAGGAAAAAACTGGACGGACACGGATGTCACAGTGGTGACTTCCGCTCCGTATTGCCCTGGTCAGGAGAGGATCTGGGCGCATATCGCCTCCTGAATCAGCCCATGTGAAGGGAGCTTTATACAGCTCCATTAGCTAGTAGCAGTTCTACTACTATTACGAAATACGAAATAACGGATATTCCGAAACGAAACAGAACGAATTTTTTGACGGCGCACAAGTCTACTATTGGCTGTAGCAAGCCTGTTTGCTTATACCTGTGATGGAGTGTTCCCAGTGCTCATCCCAGTCTCGATTCAATCCGCAGTTATTTGGTGGCAGCTACCTGTGGTATTGAAGTTCTGAATCGGCTTGCTCAGTATGATTGAGACATGGGCTACTCAAGAGACTGTCATCTTTTAGATTGTAAGACCTCATGGGCAGGGCCCTCCTTACCACCTTGTCTTGATTTGTATTGTGATTGTAATGCCTTCCTTATATTGTAAAGCGCCCTGCGCAAACTGTTGGTGCTATATAAATCCTTTGTAATAATAATAATCTTTACAAAGTGCACAGTATCCAGCAAAATAAAAGCAGAGCATAGGTGTACTCGGGTCATATGTGCAATAGCACTTTTGTTGGCAAGAAGCTGTTCTTCAAATGCTATACATGGCTCTAAGAAAAAACAGAAGTGGACTGCCTGAGTTCCTGTTGCTTGCTGAACTGAGCATCTACTTCATTGTTACATGCTGCAAGAATACAGTGTTATAACAGTGTTAGTTTCGTTCTTTGGTAATTTTGAGAACGAAACTAACTTCCTACCTTATTTGCTGGAAAGCCCCTCTGAGTCCATAGAACCCTGTGATAGTGTACCTATCCTTGTGTTCCATGGAGAATACTGCTGCTAAAGCCTTGCTTTAAAGTGACCCTAAACTCAGGGATTAAATCTAAAAAACGCATTCAATTATCTTGGCTATTAACAAAAATGTATCTTATTTGTGTATCACTCTGCTGTAGAGCCTCCAATCATCTCTGAATTGGTGCTGACACTGTCCTTCTGGAGGGGGGCTACTTGTGTTCCCCATTGTCCCTGCGTGTGTTGTAAAGTAGTCACCGGTCCAAGCTCACTCCCGGGATGGACTACAATCTCATGTTTATTTTACTCATTTGTATTAATATTGTAGTCCATCCCGGGAGTGAGCTTGGAGTGGTGGCTACTGATTGAAGCGGTATGGATTAGATGTCACTATCGTGACATCTGTGTCCGTCCAGAACCAAAACTACCAGACCCCATGTTGGTCTATGCAGAATCGGATATGAATGGAGATGTGTCCCTTTACATTAGGTTACCCTCGATCCAGCATGATGAGGTCCGGCATACTCTGTTCCATTTGTGTTTCTGGACCTGGCAGTAGCCGGGTGTAACCAGATGCCTGTTTGTTTAGACCCAGCTGCCCATAGACTAGCATTGGGCATCCGATAAGGGCCACTTGAAAAACTGACAGGCAGACCAGATTGGAACGCCCTTGTGAAAGGGGGCCTAACAGTATGGGTTTGTGTGATGGGTTCATGACTTATGCACATTATTTTGACTGGTAACTAATAGTTTTGTGTTCATAATGTATGTTTTTATCCCTGAAGTTCTGTATACCATTTTTTTTTTCTTTTTCATATCTAGTTTTAATCTACCCTGTTCACTGCCCCGAGACCCAAAGTCTTCACATGGATTTTTCATTCTGGGCATCCCCTTCATCTGAAGGGTCCCCGGTTTTGTGCCGGGTTCATCAGGCTCAAATATTACCCCTATTCGACTAGAGAGAGGTCGTGGTCCAGAGTCTCATCTCCACTTACCCAAAGGGGGTATTTACTTCATCTTGGCCCTTAAGCCTTAAAGGGTTGGACACATTTGGGTCCACAAATTGCAGATGGAATCCGCCAGATGTGTGATTTACCGCCCTTTATTAGGGAAACTTTCTTGCTTCCACTCTCAAAACGTATTTGTGACATTTGGGATGTTTCGTTTTTTTTTTTTTTGCCCCCAGCAATATTATAAAATAAGGACCCAAGCCATCCAACAGCTGAAAGGTACCAAGGATGACCCTTATCCACACAAGTTTCACGTGGATATGTCCCTTACGGATTTCATTCAGAAATACAACGGCTTGCAGGTCGGAGACCACTTGGAGGAAGTGGTGAGCGTAGCAGGTTGGTTTATTGTTACTTCGTTCTGATATGGGCAGAATTCAAAGGTTCTTTTTTTTGTGTAATGGCTATTTCTGGGTTTAGCTAACCTGTTATGACTGGAATATGCTCAGGCCATGTTATGAAGGGGAAACACGAGTGCTTTTGGTCAGTTTTATTTAAAATGTATATATTTTTTTCATATTAATTATAGCCTAAAAAGACCTTTCAAGGAAAGATTTCCTAAATTCTGCTGTGGGTTTAGCTGAGATCATAATTAGGTATGCACTCCATAATCGCACATTATTGCACACTGACCTCCCAGCAAAACCTTCTTTACCAGTGACTGTCTTATGCTGCTGCCATCTTCTCTGCCACCATTGGACGACCACTGACTATGTAACCACTGCACATGGGCACAGGAGTCTACTTAGTCCCTGGATTTATTTGTGGCATGTGAAGAAAGAGCTGGGATATACAGTGCACATCGTATGCTCACATAGCAAATAGACAATTGCTAGCAGGTTGGTGCGTGGGACAATTTTTGGTAATAGTGTTTGAATGCCTAACAAAAAGGACAGATTTCCTACAGTTTGTTACTTCTGATAAGGCACTGAACCTAAAGTGACATTAAAGTCTAATTCCCCCCCATGCTGGTGTGAGGACTTACCTTAAATTATTCCTCTTGATCCGATCATCATGTTCCCTGGATCTATCTGTGGCATGTGAAGAAAGAGCTGGGATATACTGTACACTGCACATCATATGCTCACATAGCAAATAGACAATTGCTAGCAGGTTGGTGGATGGGACAATCTTTGGTAATAGTGTTTGAATGTCTAACAAAAAAAAAACTGCTAGCAATTTTTGATTTTTCAGTTAATTATTGGCAACCCATATATTTGTCATGGCCTGTTTGCTTTACATTGGGTTTTATCATTGTTTGTTTAAAGGGTAATTAAACCCTCAGGGTTTTTTGTATGTTTTTACTGGTAGCGAGCAGAATATATATGCAATAACATAAAAAAAAAAATTACCAAAGAGGTTAAAACTTACCTGTGTCTCTGCCGCTCGCTCCCGTCCGAAGATCTGATTATTCTCGCGCAGCCACAAAGGATCATGGGGCGGGCACATGCACATTAGAGATCTTTGTCTGGGAGAAGAGGAGAGACGCAAGGTAAGTCCATTCATGAAGCCCTGCAGCGTGCACAGACTCCATGGGACACAGAAGACACAGCAGTCCGTGCTGGACCAGAGACCGGCACCAGCGCTGGAGGGACTCCTGAAAACTACTGGAAAGAACATGATGATCGGATCAAGAGGAATCATTTAAGCTAAGTCCTTACACCAGCATAGGAAGGGGGGGATTAGACTTTAAAGGAGAACTATGGGGTCAGTGTTTTTCCCCATAGTTCTCCTTAGGGTAACGGGAGGACACAAACTAGCGTCCTCCCGTTACCCTAAGCTCAGTATACCGCGAGCTACAGTTTGCGGTATACTGAGACGCCGCAGCTGGAGCGGATCCCGACGTAGATGACGGGATCCGCCCAGCTGCGTGAGTGACAGCTGGCTCTGCCTATCTAGAAGCAGAGCCAGCTGTGCCCTCCCCGTCCGTTCCGCCAGTCAGCGCTGGCAGATCGGAGCAGGGAGAGGGGAATCCAGCCCCTCCCCCTGTCACGGCAGAGAGCCGTGACAGGATCGAGAGGTGAGCAAACCTGGTATGTGTTCGCTCACCTCCCGATCTACTGAGCCGACCTGTGACAGTCTCATTGTCACAGGTCGGCTAGAACTATGAGGTGAGTGGAAATCACTCATCTCTTAGTTCTCCTTTTAATGTCACTTTAGGTTCAGTGCCTTATCACAAGTAACAAACTGTAGGAAATCTGTCCTTGAGTGTTCTTGTAAGTGCTACCTGTTGTAGTTGCTGCCTGCTAGCTGTAGACCCTCTTTAATAATATATCCAGGAAAAGATTTTCAGTTCAGTGAAGAATTTATATAAAACTATGCTAACCCAAGTCCCCAATAATGTTTAAGGCCTGGTTCACACCTTTCCGTTTTGTAGCGCGTTCAACGCCAATATATACTTTTGGCTGGTGAACTGTTCGGTGTATAGGATGACATCTGTATCCTGCTCCTTGTTTATAGGCAGGATCCATGCCAAGCGTATTTCTGGAGCCAAGCTGATCTTTTATGATCTACGAGGTGAAGCTGTGAAGCTGCAAGTGATGGCCAATTCTAAGTAAGTGTTTTACATGTAAAAAGTAATTGCGGTGCTTCGGCTGGAGCAGTCTTGCAAATGGGTAATGGCGGTCACAGTGGAAACGTGCGTCTAATGACAACAGTACAATTTCATGCAGGGCATAGAGTGGCAGCATTATCACACATATGCAGGAAGTGTTGGGAAGCCTGAATGTATGATATTTTTTTTCAGAGAGATAGGCATAAAATAATTCCTACCTAAGCTAATATTTAAAGTGACACACAGGGTCTCTTTGCATGTTAAAGAATACCCCAGATAGAAGAGGCAATGTACTTGTCTTTCTAGCAGCCCATTTGTTGCAGTGGTCGGGCAGCAGAGAAGAAGAGGCAAGTATTCGACCGGCCGTATTTGTTGAATACCGGTTTCCATCAACACATGCAGGAGTTCCTCTCACTGGCTCATATGTCATTACCGGATGCATGAGCCAGCCGGAGGAAACACTGCATGCTTTCCAGGAAACGCATATTTGACCCATCTGGCTGGGTAGGAGCAAAGAGGCGGCATCTCAGCAAATTGAATATGAGGATTTCGATGCACTTTAACTGGCTTTTCTCTCTAGTCTGTAACACATTCAGTGAACAGATTGGAAACTAAACCCAACAAAATGTCAGCCTTTGTTTAATCTGTCATTCCTGGGGAAGCTCACTGTTCTTGTGATTTGACTGATGTCTTGAATAAAAACAAGATGTGAAGCTAGTGGAAGAGCTTTGTAGATCTTGTATAAAGGGATTTCATTAGTCATTGCCATGGGAATGATTAGCAATATCCTGCATGTGTTTTATACTTATGTATGGCCTTTCAACGACTTGCACAAGCTGTTGAAAATATTTAATGACTCAAAACCGGTTCATACTGTGTAATGATCATATCATCCCCAACCCAACAGATTCTACAAATCCGAAGAAGAGTTTATGGCAATAAATAACAAGCTGCGCCGAGGAGACATTATCGGAATTAGAGGGAACCCTGGGAAAACCAAGAAGGGAGAGCTCAGTATCATCCCTAAGGAGATGACGCTGCTGTCGCCTTGTCTGCACATGCTGCCGCACCTGCACTTTGGTCTAAAAGACAAGGTACATCACACCGTTCTGTTTTAATAAACATGTCATAGTTTGCAGTATACTGTGTGACTGTGTTTTTTTTAACCTGCTTTGTTCACTGATGATTTTCTATTGCCCAGAGTTACTTGCCATTTCAAAAAGGTGTACTCAGCCATTGATGGAGGCCTGAATGTTCAGGTTCAAGGCTTTCACCATACATGATCATCAGTTTTTCTTTGCTTGTCTTGCAGGAAACCAGATTCCGACAGCGTTACTTGGATCTTATTCTCAACGACTATGTACGTCAAAAGTTTATCACCAGATCAAAAATTATTACCTACCTGCGCAGGTTCCTGGATGACTTGGGGTTCCTTGAGGTAACTAATCTCATCTTCTACATCATGTTTAACCTATGTGCCATTTTCACACGTGAGTGATTCAGCCTTCAGGCCAGTGAGACCCCACCACCAACACACCCATTGGTCTTCCCTCTATATCCAACCCCCACTGTACACAATGCAACTCTTAGTGTCCATGCTAGCAGTGAAATGGCACCTCCAATACACATAGCTATCCTCTCTACATCCTTTATACTATAGAGTCCTCTTCTTTGTATAGGCTGGACTATATGACTGGCCAGGAAGTCAGGCGCTGTGTAATGGCGGGCGCCCGGCT